ACTTGTGCGGCAATGTACCCACATATAGTTGTAACATCATTAAATAATTGTTTGGAGAATTATGTTATATGGTATTAAAAAAATTTATTTGATTAGACACGTCACATCAAAACTATTTTATAAAAAAAAAAAAAGAAATATGATAATTTAATAGAATTTATAGAATAAATCTCTTTATGATGAGAAAAAACAAATTAACAGCCATTAATGGGTTGTTTATTTTAAGGGTTTGCCTTTAGTTTTGAATCATGATTCTTTATTCTTTATAGTGTTTTTTTTTCATAAAAAATTTAAATTTTAAAAATTAGAGTCATGAATCATAATTCTAAACCCATAAACCAAACATCCCATAAATTTTCATCATGTCATAATTTTTTAAAGTATCATATAATTCTAATTTATCTGACAATTCAATCTCATCAATCTTTTTTTTTTTTAACATATAGAAACAGAGAAATATGTTTTTCTTTTTCTCTCTGCATTTATCAATGACAATGAGTTCAACAACCCCTAAAAAAAATGTGTTGCTTGTCTCCACTACACATGATTGAATTCTCAACCAAAAAGACAAATTTACTTTGCTACTCACCTTTCTTTGGCACCCATGATTTGTTTTGGTTCCTTTGTGGCTCAGATTTTGCAACGTGCTCACCAAAATGGCTTGCATGTCGGCCCCTCCTACTTTGGCTGAAAAGTAGTAGCACTAGCAATCTTTTTTGTTAGGAATTTGTGGGGTGGTTTTTCTTTTTTTTTTTTTTTTAATTAAGTGAAAATTTTGTAGGGGTAGTTTGCTAGTGTGAGAAAGTCTTTGCCTCTACAATAAAGAATAAGGACCTATTTAGTATATGAATTTAAAATAAGATTTAAATTATAGTTGTTGATTATAACTTTTTAATTTTAATTTTTTTTTTTTTAAAAATACTATAACAGAATTAAAATCATGAATTTACGTTGTAACTGAACCCATATATCAAACATATACTGCATTGTACTATGCTATCTTTTATTTTTATTTTTTTTTTGAGAATTTTTACCTTTATCTTTGACATGAATAAAAATGATGAAGTTATAATTACATCCCTAGTGAGTTTAGTCTTTTTTTACTTCATTAATTGTAATATCTCATAGGATTGCAGTTCAATACCTATGAATTTAAAAAATTTTCCGCCCTTGGAAGAAGCACTAGGTGAGATCTGCACGTGCGGCCTCGTTCAGTTCGCCGATTCAAATTTTTAATTTGAGTTTAGATGTGACTTTATATGAGAGCTTTTAACTGTAGTAAAAAAAATTAAATGTGACTTTATGTGAGAGCTATTAACTGTAGTAAAAAAAATTAGATGTGACTTTTTATAAGAGCTTTTAACTATAGTAAAATTGAAATTGAAAACTCGAATCGGTGAAATGAACGATACCTTAATTTTTTGTAGCTCTTCATCAGAATATTTATCAAAGGTCTTGTTATTCTAAATAGATTTTAAACCTTAGCTCATTAGAAAAAAAAAAAATATATATATATATATATATATAATCAATATACAGATTACAGGCTATACTTAATCTTATGGAAATAAAGAACATGGTAATGAGAGTTATTATTTTGAGGTCGATGAAAAAAAAACAAAAGTCACTTTTGATTTGAACTTTATATACCGCTCTTGTTGTCTTGCAGTTGTTTCAAAAGTTTTTTTTTTTTTTTTTTTTTTTAAATGTTTGATTCTGTGAACAATTTATAATTCAAATTCAGGAAAAATCCATAGCTCTGTTTTGTAGCTTTACTGGCATTTTGTAGGCTATATCTATTATTGTCGTCCTCGGGGTTTTCTCCTTCATGCCGTTTATACCATTTTCTTAATTTTTGTTGTTTTTCTTTTTTATAATTTCCTTAACTTTTCCATATTATGATATTAAGGATATTAATATTCTCATGAATTGGATAGAACTTTATGGCTCGTTTCAATTTATAATTTTGAAGAAAGAATTTGAACATAAATTTAATTTTTTTAAAAAGAAAACATTGGAGTAAAAATTGTGTGACAAAACATTTTTTGTTTGGTGTCTTTACCGTTGATAAACAAAACATTTATTTAACATTCTCTAAAACAAAGAATTTATTCTAACATTTTTTTAACATAAACATTTATTTGAGGGTTTTTAGCACATTTGTCCTCTGAATTTGTCGTAGTTTAATAAATTATCTCTCAAATTTTTAATTTTGATAAGTTGTCCTCCTAACTTGTAAAGTTGTTACAATACGCCTTATTTTAACGATAATTATGTTAAATTAGTGTTAGAAAAACACGTTCAACAAAAAATTTTAACATCCCAATTCAAGTATAATACAATTCTTTCAAGTTCTCAACTTTTAATCACTTAAATCTAATAAAAATTTTAACAAATTTAATAAAATGAGGCACATTGTAATAAATTTACAAGTTAGGGGACAATTTACTAAAATTTAAAATTTAAAGGGTAATTTACTACCCGCGATAGGTTCGGGATAATTACGCTAAAAACCTTTTATTTAACATTTATTTAGCTCTGACATTTTTTTTTAAAGATCACGTCTGTCCCAAAAAAACCGAAAGAGCACTAAAAATCTACAGTTGTATTTTTGAGTTATGGTGACTTGAGTTGAATTTGAGTTATAACTTGAGTTGAAGTTGTAACTTGAGTTTGTGTTTGGATGTGCACATTTTGAGTTATGGTTTGAATTGAAAATCTATTTGAGTTTGTGTTTGAGTGGATCAAAACTTAAATTTGTATTTGGATAATATTTTAATAAAAACACAATGGTGATGAAAAATTTTAATAGGGTATATGGGTGGAGTTTTATTCATCTCTTCGTTGTGAACGCATAGAAAAAATTCATCTCAATTAGAATTAAAAGGGAAAAGTTATGACGTTTTTAATAATAATAAAAAATATTGTTCATTAATTTGAGTTTGAATTTAGGAACTTGAGTTGAATGAGGAACTTGAATTAGATTTTAGCTCCAAACTCAAGTTAAAACTCAAGCTAAAACTCAAATTTTACAAAAAAAAAAAAAAAAAAAAAAAAAAAAAAAAAAAAAAAACATAAACTTAAATAAAGTTATAACTTGAGTTTAAATTTTTTTAAAATTTGGGTGCAAATGAACAAACTCAGACTTAACACATGTGAGAAAAGTCAGCAGATTTTTGTCCTTCAAACAGATATTATATATTAATATGAGGTCTTCCTCAAAAAATAAAAATAAAAAGAGCTTTTTAATAATTGGACAAATGGTTGAGCCAAATTGACTGGGGGTTGGTTTCGGTTTATTGTTATGCACCTTGACCTTATCAATCCTTTTTTTAAAAACTTTATTATTATTATTTTTATTATTATTATTATTATTATTATTTTAGGTAATCTCATCAATCCAACTCCACCATAGGTTTTTTTTTTTTTCTGATCTAACTCCACCATAATTAAAATAGCAAAAGAGAAAAATTCTAGAATATTCCTACTGCTTTTGTCAAAGTTGAACTAAGATTTAAAATTTTGCTTTTTTTTATTTTTCCTCTGAGAAGGATGGCATCATTTATTTTTAAAAAAGAGAGACAAATACTTTTTAAAATGTATATATTTAAATTTTTACTCTCTATTTCATTACTATCTTTTTTAATTAAATAATTATATTAGTCAAAATAATATTAAACAATAATAAAAGTTAAAAATTTAAATTTATACACTTTAAGAATAAATTCAGTAAATTTTCTTCATTTTGCTCTATTTTTTTAAACGTCATTAAAAAGAATTTTTATTAATTCTACTTGATTGATGTTGGTTCATGTAATCATATATGGATCTTATCTTGTACGATAACATACTAGGAGGTTAGATTTTATTTCTATTAAATCTTTTTTAAATCATGTAAAAATTAAAAAATATACAAATCTAACGGTTAAAAAAATCTATCTTATCGGTATGTCATGCGTACTAAAAAATCTAATATATATATATATATATGGAATGTGTAATTTCATATATTTATTTGTTTATTTTATTTTAATTTTTTAAAGAAACATCAGTACATGTTCTTTATGTGGTTGTTGAACCGTTTAAATCTTGGAAACAAAAAATTTATACGTGCTATACAAACCAGAAAAGGTACTTCCTCGAAAGTATCATTATTTAATGGAGATACGGAAATTTTGATAAAAACTAGTTGGTTATTTTTAATTTTGCAAAACTGGCAACCAGCTGTCTTTCTTGTTTAAATTTTTAAGAATTCTTCTGTAGGACATTTAAAAATAAGAGACTCCTTTTTAACTGTTAAATTAAGATTTTATTAATTTTAGATATTTAATATAATTTTGATTTGATACGTTTAGAAACATACAAAATATATTTCGGCCTGAACACGACTCAGTAAATATAAATTGTCAACCCTTAATCGTAGTATTGAAGTATAAATCTGTCATCTGCCTTCATTTATTAACACACAAATACTCAAATCAAATTATATTCTTTAATTCAGTGGTTCTGCTTAGTTTATTGGATCACAAGAACGTCAAATATGTCATATTGTGACTTTAAAAAAAAATGTCATATTGTTACTATTCTCTTATTTTAATGGTCTTGACAACGTGACAACAATACAAAAGGGAATAATAACCAAGTCTGACAACAATTGCTTAATGAAATCAATTATAGTTTAGACCGTTTATCATTACTGTTTATTTAAATCATAACCTCCACCCTGGCTCAGATTAAACAACAAACAAACAAACAAACAAACAAAACTAAGGATTTCAACACCATTAACCCTTACCTACCACACTCACTACCAAATTCCAATCCATTTTATTTCTTAAAATATTTTTATGTTTTTTTGTTTTTTTTTTTGTTTTGAGATTTCTTGTATGATCTCACTCTTGAAGGGCTGACCTGAGTGTGTCTGTGTGTGAGTTTTATAAAATATGACCAAGTCGTTTTGTAAGAGAAATAGACGAATTAACTCAGATGGCAAACTTCAATATAATAAACCCAAATAAACAATTACATATATAATAACAAGACCAATTGTCTGTTGTCTGAACCTTCTTTTTGGTTCATACAGGGAAAATTAGAGTCCATGATAAACTATTGCCTAACAATACTTAATTACTTATTATAATATACCTGTATATAAATTACAAGAACAAAAAAATTTCACATGATAGATAAAAGAGTCAAAAGAATCACAGAACCGGATGCTGTATTGCAACAGGAGCAAATTTTTGCCCATTCAAAGGGTGCAAATGCAAGGGGGCATAATCATCAATAGCCCTCTCTCATAAAAGCATTCCCATCCAACGGCCAATTGGCTTTGGCCATTGCTTTTTTACGCCATATATAACGTTACTCTTCAGTCCAAGATTACACAAACAATCACCACACATCACGTAGATATCTGCCATTCATTTGCAGATTTTTCACCATGCTCTCAGCCTTGGAGCTGTCTAGGGATCCCTGAAAAACAATCCCAAAAAAAAAAAAAAAAAAAGGTATTAGCTTCGGCAAATACCCAATTTTTGTGAGGTTAAATCATGTGATATTTTCTGATGTGTCAATAAAGAAAATGTCTAATGAATAAGGAAAAAAAAAAGGGGGACAAAACAAAGATGCGGAGAGAAAATTAGGAAGTGACTGTTTCGGAAAGCAAGCCAACTTTGTAGCTACCAAACTTTCCTTTTCTTGTTAAGTACAAAACACGGATATTTGAGGTTTTTTTAAAATTTTTTTGTAAACTTTTAATTTTTAATTCAGAAGAGGTAGGTGACCACCACATGTGGATATCTAATTCTAAATTTAACATCGCAAACAAACCTGCTCTTGCGCAATAGTGTGAAGAGTTCGGTGGACATCCTTAGCCATGCCCTTGGCATCACCACAGACATAAATGTAAGCTCCTTGAGATATCATGTCCCATATGTCGGCAGCCTGAATTCAAAAGCACGCACGCATTAAAACTTCTAGCAAATTATAATTAAAATAAAAATTCCTACAAAATCTCAGCCTCCAAAACTGGTGGTGGTTGGAACAAGTGGGATCACCTTCTGCATCATTTTATGCTGCACATATTCCTTGGTAGGTCCCTCACGTGAGAAAGCAACCACCAGCTCGGAAAGTGCACCAGTTTCTACAAAGTTGGCCAGTTCTTCTTCATAAATGTAATCCTGAAAATATTAGGAGTAACCAACTTTAGCAATTGACGAATTATGCAAACCATTTAGCACCTACCAGTCACACCCTCACTGATTAGCTGTAAATCCTGATTAGGGGATTACTTACCATTCTACGATTTCTGCATCCGAAGAACAATATCGACGGTCCTAGATCTGTTCCAGATTCTTTTAGAGCTAATCTTTCCTGAAAAAAACAAATTCATAGATACTTTAGATATTGCAAATGATATGAAGGTAGATCAGCAGAGCGTATAAGCATCAAGTGTGCAACTACAAACCTGCAGGAAACCTCTGAATGGGGCCAACCCAGTACCAGGGCCAATCATGATTATTGGTACTTTAGTATCAGCAGGGAGTTTGAAGTTCGACTGTCTAACAAAAACGGGTGCCCAACTGCAATCATCACTTTTCTCCGCAGGCACGGCATTCTGAAAATAAAAACAAATCCAAAAAAGCAAAAAAAAAATGAGTCCATTGGAAATAATAGTAAATACATAAAAGCACGTAATGCTATAAAATTCAGACATCAGTATCCATGGCAGGTAAAAGTAACACAGGTCACAGAGAATTAGAAACAAAAGAAAACATATTTGATATTATGTGTAAGAACCAAGATGACCACAATAAAATAGAGGCGAGATTATTCAGATAAACTATAACAGAAAAACATATCCTTTTTTTAGCTCAGTTATTTTAACCAATCAATGAAAACTGCAGTACATGAATAAAGTACCTTCATCCAAGTAGAACACACTCCTTTGTGAATTCGTCCAGTCGGTGTCTTCTCATAAACTAATGCACAAGTAACGTGAATTCTAGAAGGAGCCATACTGTAGAAAATATTAGCGGCGTAAGTACAAAGATTACACAACTTAAAACAGGAAAAATAAAAATACAAACATTAACAAAATGAGAGCAGTGAACAAAATGGGCCTAGTCACAGAAAGAAACTAGGTTTTCCAACTAATGGTGGATGTACTACTAAGGTCTGAGCAAATCTTGAATCATGAATTTTCCCGTTGTACCACATAACTTTTCTTTGTGAAAGATACCATTCAATTGGCCCCAACAATTAAGGGGTTGTTCTTTTGGAGTGTAATTTGAGTGTAATTTTTGAGTTGAATTTGAGTTATAACTTAAGTTGAAGTTGTAACTTGAATAAAGTTGAGTAAAGTTGAATAAAGTTGAAACTTAAAAGAACGTGAACTTGAATAAAGTTGGAACTCGAGTTGTCTTTTTTTGAGTTTTTTGGACAAAAGAACATGCCCTAAGTTTCTAAAACATGGGAAAGAGAATGAAGGAGGGAAGCATCTACCTTGGGGATGATGAGATTGAATAGAATCTAGGCTGCAAGCGAGGGGCCACTGCTGCAAAGAACACACCAAGTGGGGGCTTGGCTGAAGGAAATTCGGCCATGACCTCAAGTAGACTTCTCTGACTTGCAACCACCCATTGTGCATATTCATCCTGCACGAGATGGCAATACAAGTTTAAATGCGTTCCAAACCAAAGATAATCAAACTGGACTACGTGTGTATGAAGGTGGATAAGATTCACTACCTTTCCGGCAGGTGATGCAAGATGTCTTAATCTATCAGCTTCAGCTGGATTAGAAGCATGAGCTGCCAGAGCGAGCAACGATGACTGGAAAAATAAAAGCTTATAAACTATTAACAGAATGATAAATGGTTTAATCAAATAAATTATAAGAAAAACTAGGATCCAAAACTAATATAAACAAATTCAAACCAACCTTTTTGGGAAAACTTAAAAGATCTGCATACTGAGCCAGAGCTGTTCTTATAGTGCAGGGAGGGAAAAGAGGTGGCAAAGAACTTCCACTAATTGGTGTGCCATCCTCTTTATCAGTATGGACGGAAAAGTATGTTTCAGGAGACAAGCCCAATAAATTGAGAGCCTCTTCTACAACTTCAGTAAGATTCTCACAGTAAACACCAACGTGGTCCCCTGTTTCGTACCTGAAAGGCAAACCAAGCAAAAGCATATGAAAAAATGTACAGATGACATCAATGCACAAATATTGTACCTCCTGTTATCTTATTATATATAAAACACGCAAAACGATCCTCAGCGTAAGTAAAGAACAAAAAATGTTTAGAATAAAACACTTTCTTGATGCCCGAGCCAGCAAAGCCCTCAGAAAACAAACAGAGAAACAGAGGATTGAAAAGAAAAAAAAAAAGAAGAAAAAAAAACAAACTGGCCAAAGGCCCAAAGCAACTTACGAAAGTCCACTGCCAGCAATGTCAAACTCCAGATGCGTACAGGAACGATCGGATTCAGGAGTATGAAGCTCCCTTCTAACAGCCACATTAGCCCTTCATGAAGCAAATTACAGACATGTGAGATTGTACATTCCAAATAATTTGGACCAGTCACAACCAGAGTACACGGAAAGCTATTAGTTCAATGATACCTGCATGGGTGCTGAGCATCAATGACAGCATGACCATTTGCATTAGCCCAGCTCTTTTTCTCTAGTGATGCATCAACAGGGTCATGGAATTCGACACGGTATTCTAATACAGCAGCAGTGTAAGGGGTAGAAACAGTAGTTGTATCATCCTCATCTCTAAGCAACTGATCCAACTCTGGCCATACCAATTCTCTCCTATAACAGCATAGAAAAAAAAAAGTGTTATTTTTTAACAATAGGCAGAATGAAAAATTTTGCCCTTCATTGAGAAGGCAACTAAAATTAAAGCTCCCATTACCATGCAGTGAAGTCATCCTCGATACATTGATCATCGTCTCCAAGACCCACAGGCACAAGGCGCTTCGCACCTGCAAGAACAAATATCAAATCATGTTAACTAGAAGCTAATGAGATTTCAATGAAACAAGTCCAAAAAAGAATGCGCACGGACAATACCAAACTTTTAAGATCACAATAAAGAGAACAAGATAAAAATTTGCCAAATGATAAGGATCTAGGTGCAATTTTCATTTACAGCATTCCTTCAAAACTGAACAGAAAACTGTTACAGCATAAGCTTATTATGGACTACCCGAAAATAAAATCAGAATACACCTAAACACATTTGTATTGCCAAAGCTAAATATTCAAAATACACCTAAATAATCATTTTGTTAAGTAGCCTAACATTACAATGATAATCATAAAAATATAATATCTACTGTAAGCGTTCGACAAAACTTACCCTGTTCAGTAAGGTTATCGTCGACTACCTTGGCTACCTTATTGAAATGCTCGTACTGCCTGTTACCGAGACCAAACACTCCGTACTGAAGATTCTGAAGCCATTCCCCTCTCTCTTTACCCTATATATCCACAATCCCACATTCATAAACAATACTGCTCTATTTTTTTTTTTTTTTTTTTTTTGGGGAAAAAAAAAATCTTGCTTCATTAGTTTTTCAAAAGCAACAGAGAAAAGTTTTTTATTTTTCTTTTTCTTTTTACCTCTGAGAACCATTTGTAAAACCTTGCAGCGTTATCAGTTGGCTCACCATCACCGTATCTACATCCATCACAAATCAAATCATTCACCGAACAAATTCAAAGAAATTTTGACTAAAAAAATTTGCCAAAAGCAATAAATAACTAATTTTGAATTGAAAATTGAGACTCACGTAGCCAAGAAGAAGAACGCCAAACTCTCTTTCTTCAACTTTTCCTCGTATTCATCGTCATCGGCGGCATAATCATCCTGAGTTACCAATAAAGGTCTTTTTTTTCAAAATCAAACAAAAAAAAAATAAAAGTGATTTCTCGAAAACCAAAAGTCAAAAGCGTACCAAATCAACAACTTTAAAAACGGCCTTTTCGTAGCGAGCTTTTGCCTCGTCAGCCAACGCCTGCAATACATTTTGAAAATCAATCAAAACCTCATAAAAATCAATCACCGAAAACGCGGAATTTCACACAAGCCATGTCCGAACCTTGGCGAAGCCCTCGGCGGTTCCGGTCTGCGTGCCGAAGAAGATCGTGACCTTCTTCTTGCCGTCGTCGACCTCAATCTCCGGCTCCTTGACGACCAACGGCTTGAGAAGCTCCACCGCCTTCGGCTTCTGCGAGCCTGATCGCCGCCACATGAGGACGACGAAGCATCCGATCAGGACGGCGAACGACGTCGTGAGGATCGTGACGAGCTCGCGATTCTCGAGGATGAGCGAGGCGACCTCGGCGGCGGCGCCGCCGGCAGATTCGGCGGAGGCGTTGGAGGGGTCCACTTTCGCGCCCTTGATGATCGCGGTCATCAGATCCAACGGCGAGAGCTTCATCGAGCTCGACGACGACGAGGAGTCCATAATGGAATTTCCTTTTCGATACTTCCAAGGAGGAGATTGAGATTGAGATTGAGAAGGGAAAAGTGATAGTGGCAAGAACGAGAAGCTAGAGAGAGAAAGAATGGAGAATTGAGTGAGACTCTCTCTCTCTTGGTGTGAGTTGGTGGTGGGTGGCGTAGTTGAAGAGAGAGAGAGAGGTTTTATAGAATGGGAGAAATGAAAGAAGAAGGCTTTTATATATGGAGTTGAGAGTTGGGGGGCTGTAAAGTAATGAAATTATAATGCTGTGTAATGTGGGTATGTTACCGAACCAACGCCTACCAAACCAGACTAGTCAAACCCACCTAACACCCTGTTTAACCATGGTTAACCTTCTCTCTCTTACTCTCTCTCTCTCTCTTTTTTTTTTCTAGTTATGAATCTCTACGCTATTTTGTTTTTTAAAAAAAAAAAAAAAAAAAAAAAAAAAAAAAAAAGAGGCTTCTGAGACCTAGGTTTTTTTGGCTAAAAAATGTTTTGGTGTTCATTTGGTCCTTTGTTCTTTGGTATTTCTCCGGTATGCTAATATATCAATAAATTAAGTTTTTTGTTCGTTGAATTTACATAAAATTATGTAAAAATCAAAAAGTACGTAAATCTAACATTTAGAAAAATTTTAGCCCCGTTCACTTCGCTGATTCGAGTTTAGAATTCGAGTTGAGATGTGATTTTATGTGAAAGCTTTTTACTGTAACAAAAAAGTTAGATGTGATTGTTTATGAGAGCTTTTTACTGTAGAAAAACTCGAATTCTAAACTCGAATCAGCGAAGTGAACGGGGCCTAGAGGACGTTTGGTTTATGTATTCAGAATCATTCTCGTTTTACGTGTATTTTTGTGAGAGAAAATACTGTAGAAAATCATGAATCATGATTCAGAATCAAAGACGAATATAGGAAACAAACATCGACTTAATCTACCAGTATATCATGCGTACCAAAGAATCTTCCTTATTCTTTTTATAACTTTGAAAATCCTAAGTCTATTAATAAAACCTAAAGAACCTGAAGCAATTCTGCTTAAAAATGTGTCTAACTTTCATTTATGTCACTATACACTTATGCTAAATATTGATGTAGTAGGGAGATTTAATGACCCGTTTAGTTCGTTGATTCGATTTTTAATTCGAATTGAGATGTGACTTTATGTGAGAACTTTTAGGCCCTGTTCACTTCACCGATTCGAGTTTTGTTACAGTAAAAAGTTCTTAGAAATAATCACATCTAACTTTTTAGCTACAGTAAAAAGCTCTCACATAAAGTCACATCTCAACTCGAATTAAAAACTCGAATTAGCGAATTAAACGGACCCTTAATTGTAACAAAAAAATTAGATGTGACTGTTTCTGAGAGCTTTTTACTGTAGCAAAACTCAAATTGGTCAAATGAATGGGGCCTAAAATTAGGGATGGCAATCCGGGTAGCGACACGACTCGAAACCCGCACGAAGTTAGTGAGTTTGGGTTTACCGTAAATATGTTTGGGTCAAAATCATGTCGAACTCATAAAACACGATTAAATAGTGTGTAGTTTTCAGGTTGACCCGTCTACCCGCAATTGACTCGCTGTAACCCGTTTATTAAACGTGTCATATTTGAGTAACACGATTACACAACACAATTACAACTCATTTGTTACCTAGGTTGAGAAATAGGTTGACACGACCTCATTATCACTCATTTTATAAATGGGTTATTAGAAACAGGTTGACACGACACTATTATGACATGTTTAATAAATGAGTTAATCATGTTGTGTCAACCCGCTAATATACAAGTCGTGTTTAGATTTTGTATTTTGACACGAATAATAAACAGGTCGTGTTCGTATCAGGTCTTATCGTATCAATTAGGAGGACCAATATGATACGAACACGACGACACGACAACACGAATTGCTATCCCTATTTAAAATAGGATAGTGGAGTATTAACTGCATTTTAGGGGGAGGAAAAAGAAGTATCGAATCCGGATGCATTCTAGGAGAAAAAAAAAACATCTCTTTAACATCGGTGGTTCTTTAAGACTAGTTAATAATTAGAGGTGTAGAACATCACTAATGAAGTAACACGATACTAAGGGGGCGTTTGGTATGCAGGAATCAGTAGGAATCATTTTCCCAGGTAAGTGATGGAGGGTAATATGATTCCTAGGAATAATACATTACTGTGTTTGGTTCCATACAGGAATCTTTTTCAAATTCTCAGAAATATTACATTACTGTGTTTGGTTGTTCGCATGGAAGAAAATCCATAATAATAATAATAATAAAATAATAATATTATTAGTAATATTATTAATAATAATAATAATAATAATAAATATAATAATAATAAATATAATAATAATAATAAT